AAAAGAAGGGATTCTCATTCTCCCATAAGGCAACAAGCTAGTTGAATGCAGGGGTGGTCCGAGGCGGGCTGCGGCAGCTGGCGCCCCAGGCGGAATGTGCAATTGGCACCCCCGCCTGCACAGCCATCAATGGGCATGACGTCATCATCAGGCGCCTGGGCCAGCGGCGCCCTAGACAACTGCCTAGTTTGCCTAGGCTCACGGGCTGCCCCTGGTCTTCTGTTGATAAGCATTTTAGTGGTTAAATTCCTGGACTGTCATTGCTCATTCAAAGTGCTGTCATATGGGTGGAAATCAGATAAATACTGCATTTTATTAATATCAGCAGTACTGACTTAAATGGGGCCTGTGTCTTGTGTAGTCTTGCCTTAATCTTTGTATTCATGCATCAGTGTGAAAGGTTATTTGCATATATATTTGCATGTATATGCAACCACGCTTAAGTTGCGGCCCTCTTCATGTGCTGAGAGTATCATTGTGGCCCCCGGGGCTTCCAAAGTTGAGTAGCCCTGCATTACATTATCATAGACTAGGGTTGGAAGAGACCCCAGAAGGTCATCGAGTCCAATCCCCTGCTCAATTGCTCAATGCAGAACTAAGCCATGAAAAGCAGGAGTACAGCGTTTGAATTTCATAGCCCCTTGTATTGAAATAATGGGCTTGGTAGTGTGGACACACTGCTTACACATTTGAACATAGGGGTTATTTCGGACTATGGCCCTAGTATAGACCAGGCCTAGGTAACCCATTCCAGTGCTTCCCCACTCTCCCAGTGATATATGTTTCCCTAATGTCCAACCTGACTCCCCCACTGCAACTTGAGACCATTACACCTCATTTTGTCATCTACCACCAGTGAGGACAGCCTCACTCCATCCTCTTTGGAAAACCTTTCAGGTAGTTGAAGGCAGCTATCAAATCTACTCCCCTCCCCAAATATTCTCTTCTATAGACTAAATAAGACCAGTTCCCTCAACCTTCCTCATAAGTCATGTGCCTCAGCCCCCTAATCATGTTTGTTGCCCTCCACTGGACTCTGTCCAATGCGTCTACATCCCTTCTGTAGTGGGGGGGCCCAAAACTGGAATACTCCAGATGCGGCCTCACTAGAGCCAAATAAAGGGGAATAATCACTTCTCTGGATCTGCTGGAAATGCGCCTTCTAATGCACCCTAATACGCCATTAGTCTGTTGCCAAGGACACACTGTTGACTTATATCCAGCTTCTCATCCACTGTAATCTCAAGATCCTTTTCCGCAGAAATGCTACTTAGCCAGTCGGTCCCCAACCTGTAACAGTGCTTGGGAGTCTTCCATCCCAAGTGTAGGGCTCTGCACTTGTCCTTCTTGAACGTCATCAGATTTCCTGTGGCCCAATCCTCCAATTTGTCTAAGTCACTGCCCTCTCTGCCCTCAAGCGTATCTACCTCTCCCCCAGCTTAGTGTCATCCGTAAACTTGCTGAGGGTGCAATCCATCCCCTCATCCAGGTCATTAATAAAGATATTGAACAAAACCGATCCTAAAACCGAACCTTGCAGCACTCCACTAAAAACCGACCGCCATCCTGACATCGAGCCATTGATCGCTACCCGCTGGGCCCGGCCTTCTAGCCATCTTTCTATCCATCTTACCGTCCATTTATCCAATCCACAATCCCTTAACTTGCTGGCAAGAATATTGTGGGAGACCGTATCAAAAGCCTTGCTAAAGTCAAGGTATATAAAACCGAACCTTGCAGCACTCCACTAAAAACCGACCGCCATCCTGACATCGAGCCATTGATCGCTACCCGCTGGGCCCGGCCTTCTAGCCATCTTTCTATCCATCTTACCGTCCATTTATCCAATCCACAATCCCTTAACTTGCTGGCAAGAATATTGTGGGAGACCGTATCAAAAGCCTTGCTAAAGTCAAGGTATATAACATCCACTGACTTTCCCATGTCCACCGAGCCAGTTACCTCATCATAGAAGCTAATCAGGTTGGTCAGGCACGACTTGCCCTTTGTGAATCCATGCTGACTATTCCTGACCACTTTCTTCTCTTCCAAGTGCCTCAATATGGATTCCTTAAGGATCCCTTCCA